TCTCCCCTTCCAGCTCATTGATCTGATGAGCCTATCAGTCATCTATCAGGGATGCTTTAATTTAAATTCCTGCATGGAACAGGACCTGATGAATTAAATGCCACTTCTCAACTGTACAATTCTATGATCTTGCTCTTTGCTTCAGGCATCAGAATGTACTAAGCTGACCCTGAACAGAGCAAACTTGCAGGTGCTACAAGGCAATAACTCTGTAATTTCTCAAGATGATTGAAACAGACTTTTACTGTATGTATTATCTGTCAACACACATAACTCTCATGGTGTTAAGCCTTCTGGTCACATAGCAGTGAGGCACTTTCAGTGCTAGTTGCATGCAAACACACACATACAAAGAAACTACAATTTCTTGGTCCTGCACAAGTGCTATAAATATTAGGTTTGACTCTCAAAAATGAAGTAGTGAAGAATGAAGAAAATGATAACTAGAGTTTAAACCACACAAAAAGTTAATTTTGTCCTCGCTACTTAGCTTGAACAGAAAGGCTTATAGATTGTTTGCATATTGTTACATTCTTTTATTACAGTGAAATTTAACAAAGATAAAAATAATAAAACAGGAAGATTGCTTGCAAATCACACCCACTCCTTCCCCCAGATATGCTTTGCAAATTTTCTTTAGACTGGAATGATCGACAAATAGGCAAGAACCAAAGGATAAGGAAATCCATCATAGCTAAGACAGATCAAACTGTTCAAGCACAGGATTAGAATTTTACTCCTAATATAGTCCATCCGAAAGGATTCGATAGTTAATCCTTCAGGGTGTGGCAGGAGGGGGGTGTTCAGTCCAATGCTTGAGAGTGTGAAATAGTTTACACAGATGCTGTGACATACAGATCAGCAGCTCAGTACATGTGGCACTCGCATGTTGCTCACCTCCTTTTGAATGTGGAACATACTTGGCTTATTTGCCAGTAAGAAAACTCTCTAACTCATAAGCGTGTGTTTTTCTCTCAATGGCTCTTAGATATGGTCTTGCACTAGTTTTGTTGTTTGCTTCTGCTCTTTTAGCCAAATAAAAAATTCTTTCCATCTTGTGCCTCTTTAGAAAGCAAAACAACACCTGAAATGATCAAGAGCTGGCAAAGATAACTATGATATGTTATTTTCATTGTTATTGCCTTTCACTTCTTTACTTATTACACATTTGAAAACATGTTTGTGTCTCCCAGGCAGCTTGGGCAGATCAAAAGATCTCAATCATCCTGTGCCTTGAAATATAAGCTGTCTCAGGGCTTTTCCACAGCACCACTTTAAGCTGCTTGACTCCTGGCTGCAAACCACCCAGAAATGAATCCAGCTTTAAAAATCCCTTTCCAGTTTTCGCCCTTTCCTCTGCTCTGGCTACAATGATGCCCACTATTCTGTCTGGACCAGCTTACCACAGTTGGTGGGCCCTGATTCTTTATCCCTCCCACCCATGTCAGGAGAGCAAACAATTGCTTTCCTTTCTGTCTTTAGGGAGATTCCTTGCTGTAGATAGAACTTTTTTTTGTATGTACCCCTTTGGTTGACTCTCCCTCATACCTGACACCTTCCTGTCTAGCATATCCATCAGTAGACAGGTAAAAAAGAAAATATCAGCCATTTACTATTCTTTTGGTACTTGAGCTAAAAGGGGAAACTGGCAGAACTCTTGTTAATTTTAAGGGAGGACTGACTCAATATTCCACTATTTCATGGATGAACTTGTTTAAAAAAAAGTGCAGAGATTCATGGTCAAATCAGCTCAGCAGCCCAGATCAAAATGGCTGTGGAGGACGGCTATTGGTGACCAGAGGGAAAGGGACTTTCCTGCCATAGCACACAATAGCCAAGCCAATAGGAGTGGTTTTTGCCTACAATGAAATGAAGTGTGCCAGGTGAACCAGACAGCACAACTTGTTTTGGCACAAGTCAGAAACTTTGTTTTGTATGTGTCGTAGGAAAAGATAGACATAAATGAAATTCCCAGTGGGCTGGGACAGATACAGATTATGAGGAATAGTTAGTGTTTAGCTGGCATTCACACTAAAAAGGCAACCTTGTACTGTAGTTCTGATAGCTCTCCCTCTAAAAATTGTTTAGCTACCCCCCTGCCTTTAAAATAATTGTGGTTTCTGATTTTAGCCTGTTAATACGCTCACCATAATTTAACCAAGATTTTGCGCATTCTGATTGAATAATGAACATCTTACACCTCCAGATCTTTGCCAAGCACATTTTTGCATTTAGAATTATTCTTTAGAAATACATTACCAAAACAGCTTGGCCTGGCATGGACTAAGCTACCACATTTGGGCTTTAAAAAATCCAAATAACCACTGGAAAGCAGCAAAGAGATACTCTTTTCTGCATTTCTTTGTTGCTACTTAGGGGTTGTCCCAACTTTTATTGTAAATTGTAGCTTTTTTGTAATATATATTTCCAAGGAGAAATATAAAGTATAATATTCTATGTATATAGAATATATATGGCCTTTCCAAGTTAGTGCTGTCTATTGTACATGAATTGCACCACAATCCTGGGAATGATAGGAGTTAGATTTCATATCAGGAATATACGAGATGGGTAAAGGGCTGATTAGGGTTACATAAAAGCTTCTTGTGATCAGTAAAAGATATAGCCAGCAGATGAGAGAAACTACCCAGGGTTTGCATTATTAAGATATAAAAATTAGAAAGACTTGCAATGGCACATCGCTTAATTGTCTCTCTTGAAACCTGAACTTCAAGATAATTGTGACACAAATCATACTACATTGGACAAGCATAAGCCTTGTATCTGATGCAGTAGTTTGGGAATACTGTAAAAAGACATAAGCTTCATGGCCTACTAATAGTGGATCTTTCCCTTTATGGACTTTTTGCTGAAAATGGATAAAAACGAACTGGTGATTCTGATTTACCAATTAAAAAGGACTGTATATGGGAAGAAGGGAACTATGTTATGTAATTTTGAAAAGGGGAAATGGTATCAAGTATGTCTATAACTGCTGTAAAGAAGATCAGAAGTCGCTTCTTTAAGTATTTTTTTTTCTTTTTCTTCCCTCTGTATTGTTTTCAACATTTTTTCTTTTTCTTTCTTTCTTTCCTACTTTTCTTCTACATTTTTTCATGATTATCTTTTATTTCTTTAATAAAAATTATACAAGAAAAAAAATAACTGATCTTTCCATGAACCAGCAAAATGTTCCTATTCAACATGGAGGCTGGATGAGCAGCTTTTCCAAAGCAACAAATAAAAAAAGATCAGAAATACCCACGAAGAGTTTTGCCTAGCCTTGCTAAAGAACATCAGCCTAAGCATCTACTTTGCCTTTCCTAAAGGATCAGAGATTAAAGCTGAAAAAGGAATGGATTAGGAAGAAACTAAATCCCATTAGCACAGAAGCATTCCTGGTTACAAGGCAACAAACAGGAGGAAAGAAGGACAGAGATTAACATGGAAGTAGATTGTCATCTGACAGCATCATGATTAAGAACCTTCTGTGGACAGATTAAACTAGGTAAAATTAGCCATCAACGCAAGCAAGATAGATTGACTCCTATGCTAAATAAGGATATGTCAGAGACAGTTGCAATACACTGAGTTTCATGCTGGGAAGGGCAGAGAAAAGTGGGAAGAGAAAGGACACCTTTTTTGTACAGCAGTCTTCAAGTCCTAATTCACAGCTAATGCCTACACTGATTTGGTCATCATAGGATTACACATTTTCCAAGAACTGTGAGCAATTTTATTAGCATTGGACATTTCTTCAGCAAGGTAAGATCATAAAGGATTTGCTTGGTGAAGATAGCAAGCAAAAATAAATAAATAAATAAATAAATAAATAAATAAATAAAAACCTAAATAGATAGGCAAGTGGTAGCGGTGGGGAAGATGTTCAGTTACTGTTAGGCATTGGATGCATTATAGTGATGTTGAACACCTAAATAACTTATTTGAAGTATAGAAATCAGCTATAAAGTGTGGTCACATTTGATAAAAGCCACCCAAAGACAGATTCACTGGCTTATAATAATTAGGCAAGGTCATTGTTAGAGAACCTATTAATATGTTTCAGGTTTTGGTGTGAAAGAATTGCTCTAAGACCTAAAGCAGTACTATATGTGAGAACCTTTTGTTATATGATGAAGAGTTTTTCTTACCCACTGTTTTTCATGTGAAAGCAGACAAAATAAGTTAACTTTAATTGTCCCTGTTTTATACTATTTCTTTAAGCAGCATATTCACATACAAAGAACAAATTGTGCTGTCCTTGAGACTCTAGAGATATATTTGTGCTAATGCAAACTGGTACAATTCCATTGAATTTAGCAAGGAATCTGGTCCTATAATGGTATTCAGGAAATTAGGAGTTAGACTAAATTTTTGGTTCTGCTATAAATTTCATCTTCAGCCTGGTTAATGCTTTCCTCTCACCCTCCTACCTGCAAGATGAAAATACATGTTCCTTAAATCAAGAATGGCAAAATACAGTATATACCTAAAAAGTTACCAGGAGGAAAAGTAATCACTAGTCCAATACACAACAACAATGAACCTATGTCTACTTATACACACACACACATACACACTCACACTCTCTTTAATGGGACTTCCAAAGTAAATATGCTTAATATCACAGCCTAATTAAATCCCCACTGAATTCAATCACATTTTCTTCTGAGTGAACATTATTCGTGGAGTTTATTCTAACACTGATAAAGGAGAATTACAGATGTATACATGAAACAACAAAAAAGGAAAGCCAGATCCTCTGTTTCAGGTGGGTGAGAAGGAAGGGATGAAGTAACACAATGTGACAGTCAGGAGTCTTCACCTGTCTATTTAGCTTGAGGCGCATAATAACTCTGTACTGGTTAGAATTTTCGATCTTTGTGGCATCAAATATTGTATGTTATAAGACACTCCCTTCTCTGATTTTATTAACTGCATTACTTTCTCTTTTAGAGAGAAGAATCTTAAAAAGCTAAGTATCTTACTGTAATTGAAGAATGTCTGATAACAATATCTCTGCAGCCACTAACCTCAACACAAAAGACACAGTGGGAACAAATCCAACTGGGCCAACCACCCCACGCAAGGGGCCTCCTAAATTCAAGCAAAGGCAAACAAGACAATTCAAGAGCAAGCCTCCTAAGAAAGGAGTAAAAGGGTAGGCATTCTAATCTTATGTATTTGAAGATTCTGCAACAGCCTTCTCCAATGTGTTCCTTCCAGAAGACTTAAATTGTAGCTGTCTTAATTCTCAGCAGGTCTAGACATTGACTTTTTGGAAGGCTTCTTGACAATACCCAATCACACTTAAAGAAGCATCAACCTAATGTCTCCCATTCCCCACTATAATTGATAGTGCAATCCTGTACATACCTCCTTAGAAATAAGGTCCTTGGTTCAGTGGAACTTTCAGATAAACATGAATTGCAGTAAAAATATACATTCTTGGTGGAAGGGGCGATATGTATGTATATGAATATATTCGTGTGCATGTGTGTGTGTACTCATACAAATACATATACACATTCTTCCTTCTTCTACCACTGCCTTTAATTCTCTTCCTCCTGTCTGCCTTGTCTTAGTTTCTCATCCTTAAGTGCCATATATATAGATAATGCATAAAAACTATACTATATTTCAAACCATGTTGTAAACTGCAAGTATAGTAGCTATCTTGGTGCAATCTTAATGAAGTACAAGGGAGTAAGCCCCATGACAGATAATGGGATTTACTTCTGAGAATATATACATAGGATTGTATTGTAAATGGAATATGGAGTAAATGGAGTATAGTTGATAAGAGCTGGTCTACATAGACCCCCTTTCACAACTAAAGACATAAAATTATTTGGGATTCTTGGGTTACTTATAAGATGGCATGATGAAATTTTCTGAATTATCAAACTGAATAACTTGCCAATACCAGTGCCTCTTTGGCTATTGGCTTAAAGATCAAAGGTATATGTATATAATCATATCTAAATGGGACATATTTCTGTGTTTGTTTTATATTTCAGGCCTTAGATAAGACACCCATGATAATTGTGTATAGACCCCCATGTTAACAAAGTCAATCAGGGTGGCTTGATGACAGAAAGATTTTCAAAGAGCTGCAAGTATTGTGTTTATTTGCTTTGGTCTTTGTTTTTTAATTGAAATAGCATTTCTTACTGTTGTTCCTGTTATTTCTGAAGGCAGCCAATTTGCACACTGAAAGTTCACTAGATATTAAGAGAGCTTTAATTCCTTTGACCTAAACAATTAGCATGTAACTGATTTCAAGAAATAGATTGCATCTTATTTAACATTGTCCTTCCATTTGTCCAGACAGTCTACATTTTAGATCAGAACATGACCGAGTAAAGAGGTAATGGATGGCATGAACAGGGAAGATTCTGGAATGCAACTTCAAGGTTGTCAGGAGAGGGGAGAGACATTCCAGGGCAAGCACCTCCTCAGCCCACAGCAAGAGTGTGGGAAGACGAAGAGGATGTGGCTGGCCCCTCCCTAGAGGCTCATGGGTTATAGCCACTAGTTGCTTTAGCATAGGTTTAGTCTGGCGAGATTTTGTCTATTAGGTGTGAGCTAATAAAGGAACTGGACTGGACTGGACTGGACTGCCTCGTTGCTGTTCTTGGGCTGAACCCGACAGAAATGCAACAACATGCTAATGAAAACCACATTCAAGTCCTACAGTTGAAGAAGTTCTCACATACTCATTTTTTGTTATTCTGCTCTTGGGTTAGAAAAAAAATATTGTTGCATATATGATATTTTCTCTATCTCCCTCCCTCCTTCCCTTTCTTCCTCTCATACATCTTCTTTCTCTTTTTTCTTTGTCCATAGTTTTGGAGATGATATCCCAGGAATGGAAGGACTTGGAACAGGTAAACAATATAGGAGAATTATGCTATTAAATTTTCTCTTACAACTATTTAATACAGAGAATAATGTTATGACTAGTTAATTCACCTGATTAGTCTCCTAAGTATGATCAATAAATTTTACAGCAGCCATCTTTATGAGAAATTAGTCAGTTGGCAGGTGCAGGGCAATGTATAGGCCAGAAAACAAACGGGTTTGGAGGCAGGTTGATCAATCCTTGATCAGTGTATTAATACATGTCACCTATTTGAAAAGTCTCTATTGATTTAAAAGTAGCATTTGACTCGGTCCTTACTCATGTCTTTATCATTACATGTCTGGACCACTGCACATGGGCTGCCTTTGCAGCCAGAAGCTTCAATAGATACAGAATGTTCTAGTCTGTCTCCTGGTAGGTACTAACTCCCAAGAGCCTATTAAATCTGTGCTTAAGGCCTAGATTGGATGCCAATAAGCTTCTGAGTGCAATTTAAAATACTAGTTTTAACCTATAAAACCCTCCACAAATTGGAACCAATGCAACTGCAGTATTGCTTTCTTGAGAATCTACCCATACAATATAATCCTAAATTCCTTCATGTTCTTCAAGGTGTCTCCAGTTCTTTACTTCATTTGAAATCTAGACTAGCTTTTCTAGAAGCTTACATGTAGTTTTCTTATTTAAAATTATGACTAAAGTGTTTTCATTGATGGCTTCCTTAACTCTTTAGTCCTTTGGGGCAGCTTTCTATTATCCTAGAAGAAAGGCACTGAACTCGATCTAATATATTATGAAATCTCAGTACAATATTTGATCTCACATGGTTTTGAGAAAACTAAAATGTAGCTAAGGCACTAGTATGTATTCAACACTGATCACAAGAAAGTACCACACTCACCTGTTGAGATGATTGGTCTGGAAGACCTTTTACTTCAGCCAATTATCTAGTTAATATCCTGTGTTTGCCTTACTGGAAAGCTTTTTGATGGACCAGGTTATTGTTCTGCCATCCATGTTAATGGAAGGGAAATATAAGAACACCCCAATGAAAGATTACTTATATCCATGCTTGCTGGGAGAAACTGAGACAGTTATGTGTGTACTCTATATGACCTGGTAGCACACAGATTTAATAACGCCCTTTACCTTGGTAGGTCAGAAAAGGATAACACTCTTATCTTACTGCATTTGTCTGTGGAAAAAAACCTCTAAAGTTAAATTCTGTTCTATAACTATTCCTGTTTGTGGGTTACTATACTTTTCTATATTCTCCCCCCTCTTCTCTCTCTCTCTCTCTCTCTCTCTCTCTCTCTCTCTC